CGTGGAATTAGATCTTTTTGAAATAAAGGAATTATAATTTAAAGAATAAAGTGGAAAAGAAGAGTGATGTTCTTTCCACATAGTAAGTCCAGATATGTAATTGGGTTTCTTCTCTACAAAGTATCTTTGAAAAGTATTATTTGACTACTTTTGTCAGCTATAGGTAGGGCTGGGAAAAAAATTTTAAAAAGAACACTCATACTCAAAATTGGATCAGCTCCACACAGCATTTGCTATTTGAAAGCCTGCAGAAGGGAGCCACAATATAAAATACATTTTAAACTTGCTCCTTTTTCACTAGGAAGAGCATATGAAGACTCTTTGACAGTAAGCGCTTCTCCTGGAGCAGCAGCAGCAGTCCTGGAACCACTGCTGCCACTGCAAAGATCAACAGTTAGTTGATCCTTGCAGTGTTAGTTCAATTTCTGGGAGATGTGAGTATTCCAGGTGTTCTGAGTTTCTTACTGCACTTCTGACTCTCCAGCTGCTGCCTGGCCTCATAACAGGAATAACAGACCTTTCTTTCCAGACCTCTGTGGTGAAAACATGGCAGTTGCCCAGAAAATCTGCTGCAAAGTCATTTTATCATGGAATGCACTATAGATTTCACAGACAGGGAAAACAAGGTAATGTCTTTGCCCTTACCACAGGTTTTCTGTCCTTGAAAACTTAGGTTCTTCTTCAGTCTCCTTTTCCTTAAGCAACAGAATTCTCATGCTTTTCTTCACAGAAAGGGTTGTAAAACATGGGCAGAGGCTGCCCAGGGCAGTGGTGGAGTGCACATCCCTGGCAGTGTTCAAAAACCACGTGGATGTGGAACCTGAGGACAAGGTTTAGTGGTGGACATGGTGGTGGTGCTGGGCTGATGGTTTGACTTGGTGATCTTTAAAGGTCTTTTCCACTCTTAATGATTCCCTGAAGCCTCAGACACCTTATTTTCCATGTCCCTGATCACTCCCACCACTCAGCTGGGGACTGCTGACATGGGTCCACCTCCATCTCATTTTTGCAAGGCATATTTCAAACACTGAAAACTGAGCAACTCCCTTGACTGAAGGCCTTGCCAAAGGCAAAAGCTCTTTCCCTGAGACCACTAAGAAAGATTTTGCTATGGGAAATAGAGACCCAGGCCTTGGGTTAGTGAGGCTGAAGTAAAGGGATTATGGTCAATACTATAGTGAGAGAATGACAAAAAAAGAAATGCCAATATTACTTTTCAGCTGCAGATTTCAACTAGTTGCAAGTGTGTGAAGATGTTTTCAGTACTTGAAGGTACCTTGTTGATTATCCATTACAAAGCATATGGAAATGCAGATGGTACAGCTCTGTTTCACATATTGTGTTACACAACTATGACTGGGGTGACCCCAAACTGCCATAACAAGACATTTAACCCTCATTTCAGGCCAAATGCAGAAAAGATATTCAGATGCCTAAAGATGCAGATTGAAAGCACTCAAATTATTAAAGCAAATTAAATTCAGCATACATATACAAGTATGATCTTGTAAGTAGATGTAATGAAAATACTGTTCATTAGTTTGGGAATTATTAAATCAACATTTTGAACAGCTTCAGGAAAATAGGCACAGCAAGAACTGAGCTTAGATGAAGACTTACATAAAATCATCAACTCAGTGGTTGGCAGCTGTCAAAAAGTAAAATCTCAGGAGTGCTCACAAAAGCAATACAGCATGAAACAGGTAAGAAGATTATACCATTATATACATATATGGATCTTTCATACTGAGTACTCTGGGAAGCTTTGGTCAAATACAAAACATGCAAAGTGGAAAAGGATCAAAAGAGAGCAAAGACAAAATGTATGGACTGACTTTCCATCTGGGAATTGACTGAGCAGAAACCCTGCAGCACAGGAAAGGTTTGATTTACAGGGGATATTTTAGAAGGCTATGTATTCTTGAATAGCCTAGAGGAGGTGAGTAAAAATCAACTATCCTTCTCATGCACCAGTTCTTGTGCAAGAGGAAGGGAAGTTAGCAGAAGTTGGGTTCTGAACAAATGGTCTTTCCAAAGCACTTGTTCAGCTCTTTCAAAGTACTGTCCATTCTGTGCATCTAGAACACCCTTCGGTGAAGAGTTGTACAGGTTTACCACAAGCTAAAACAATGTTTCCCTTTGTGTTTTGGATGTGGAGTTCTGCCCAATCAAATCTCACATAGATGTTGTTCTGCATTTTTGTTGTCCTTTCCATTTGCTGCCTTTTCCATTTTTAATAAGCAAAAAGCTCCCAAAGCAACTGGACAAATGCTTAGCAAGGGCTGTGGCTGGAATTATAAAAGTGACAAATCCCATCAGCCCTGCCTAAAAATACATCTGGGAGATCACATGGGATTAGTCAGAGAGAAGAAAGGGAGAGGGAAAGGTATGATACACACCCTATTTTTACTTTTTTCTTGTCATCCATCCCCTTCTGGCCACTTGGGTCAGAGTCAAAGCAGTGGCCAACTTGGTCCCAGTCAGCACATGCATTCCTATGTTGGCTAAAATCAGAATGAAATTTAAAAAACCAAAATAATTTAATTAGTCTTTTATCCAATAAAAAACTAAACAGTATTTGTTGTTCTGCCTTGAGATGTTATTTTTAGAGCACCATTAGCTAGGAATTAATTAGTAGTAATTGGCAAACCCTTACTGTGAATCTTGCTGTAGAGTTTATGGTTTATCAAGATGCTTCATGAAGACGCATTCTCATGACTCAGATGTGAGGATAATGTTTTCCTTCAGGACTCCTGCAGTTTCCCTGTCATGACTCAGTGCTGTTATTTATTCATCATGCTAAGGGCACAGCTGGTTTGTAAGAACAAGTGACCAGACTGATGGATTCTCATCACAACCAAAACCAGAGGGGATGGCTAGCTTCAACCTCTCACACAGTTTCAATGCTATCACACAAAATGCCCATAAACTGAGCTGAAAGACACAAACAAGTCACTCCAGATTTTGGAGTATGTCCAATATTCTGACACATGGATGTTGTGAAAATGTCTTACTCCTTATCTTTGATAGGGCATATGCCAGAAACCTGTGATTTTGTGTTATAAAAAGCTGATAAGCACACACAGATGCTTCCTGCTTGATACTGTAGGGTTCAGCAGAGCCCTCAGAATCAGCAGACATTGGCAAATAAACTCTTTTATCTTTGTTGGTATTTTGAGTCCTTTGATCCTCTTATTTCAAATCTGGATCCAAAAATTCCCCATTTATCTTTATTTTAGGCTCCTGAGAGAGATACCAGTCCTTTAAAACCCATGAAACTCCTGAGTAGTGATGAAACTGTGCCTTTAGAAGACATTTTTCAATCCCAGCAGAAATTCTGAGGGTAAGACTGGGCTCAAGAACTGGACTACTGTTTCTACAGAAGAGGTAATTCTCTATCAATTCTCTCTCAATACAGGCTCAAACTCATTGAGCTTTTTTACCCCCTTCCCTGTACAGAAAAGGTTCACTTCCACCATCAGTCAAGCCTTGGGGCTCCCCCGTCCACATTTACTCTGCCATTGACACAGCAAAAATAACCACCTTCAAAAGAGGAGAGTGAACCAGTGCTTTGGTGTTTTTCTATCAGGAACCCAAATAAAAGAAATCAGTGCTTATATTTGCAAAGCCATTTGCTACATCAGATTACAGGCCAACATGCTGCATTTATAAATTCCTTTGCCTGGCAATATTTGGGGAGCAGCAGGAAGAAAACTTTCAGTAGACAAACAAGCTTTGTGTAATCAGGAAGTTAGTAAACCCTGTTGTGGAACAGCAGCATAAGCTGCATAACACTTCTACATTTCACGACTGACAAACAAAAGAGAATTCCTAAATTTAAAAAGGGAACAACTAACAGATCAAAGTGAATGAAAAATGCATTTGCTGCCTGCCCTTGGGAAGTTCCCTGTCTGTGAGCCTGCATGCACAGGCACCAGCGTTCACACACAGCCATCCAGGTGCCACTATGGAGCAGGCAACAGCAGCACTTAAGAAAACAGAGTAAATAAAACCTTACAAGGCTTTATAGATCCATTTATTCATAAGGAGACTAAAAGAACTGAACCTAGCCTTAAACCCATCAGCAGCAAGACCTTATTTCAAGTATGAACATCAACGAGTGACATCACGGAAGAGAGACACCTCCAATCCAGTTTGCATTGTCTGATCTGCTCCAGACACAAACGCCCTGAATTCCTGCAGGGTAACCTCGGAGCAGGTTCCCAGGCTGATCAGCTTGTCTCTGCAGCCAGGCCAGCCCTGCTAACCCCGGAGCTGTGACACTGACCTGAGCTGGGCATTTGGGTCACTCCTGGCTGGCCCTGGTGACTCTGCACACAGGAGCCCCACAGCAGCTCTCTCGCAGGAGGGGAGGAGCTGTAAAGCCTCTGTGAAGAGCATTCAGCATTGAAGCTAGAGAACAACGTAGGCTGGCAACAGAACAGGCCTTAGCAGGAAAATACATTGGATGGGTTGAGATTTTTTACACAGAAAGCATGATAGTCTTTTTTTCTTTTTCTTTCTTTTTCTTTTTTTTTTTTTTTAGGAAGTGTCATGTGCTATTATAGAAACTTAAAAGCTTAAATCTGATATTTTCCTGAGCTGAAAATACAGTATTTCCCCATCCTCTTTATTCAAAACCATCACTTGCTGTCAGAGACTTAGAAAACACAGCAATTTCCAAAAGTCTATGGAAAAGTTTATTTTTACTTTGCCTACTCGGACAGTATTTCCCTTTAGCCCTGTCATACTGCTCTTTCCACCAGATGGTTTGCTGGTTCCTAGCCTAGCTAAGAGGGATTTAACCAGCTTGAATTAATCCTTACAGTTGTCATCGACTAAGTGTTAATGCTCTGCCACTGCTTTAATCCTTAGGGATTTCTTTCCCCTCTGCCCCCAGCCTGCTGTGTGCCAAAGGAGGAGGGAGGAGGGCACTGGGGATGCTGAGCCGACAGAACAGCCCCGTGCTCCAGTTCAGTGACAAGGTTACAGGCACTCACCTGGATAATCCCGGGACATTCGTACGGGACATAAACAACCGCCAAGGAGCTCCAATTACTGCAGGAAAACTTAATAATTTCAGTGGTTATATGTGAAGCAGGAGCACATGTACACACGAAAGATTTGGCTCGCACTTTTTAGCTTACTCGAGGTATTTTGTGTCTTCCACGCTGCCCAATTTTTTTTAATTTTCAGCTTTAACGTACTCCCCGTTTTCTGAAAAGTAGAATCTGATACAAAGTAGGTTTCACCCAGGTGTGGGGTTTCCTTCTAGAGTCCATGTTTCCTGTTGCACCGCTGAGCTCATGCACCCGCGCACCTGCATGCCCTCTGTGTGCATTAGGAACACCGCCTGGAATTTGGGGCATTAGCATATCGCTAATCTCCACAAACTCATTATTATGCGCACACCCGATTCACGCTGACCTCTTCACCCAGTTGCACCACTGACAGACTCCCACCTTCCCCTTCCCACTGTCCCTCGGGAAAGCCTGGATTTACTGGGTGTTCCCAGGAGGTACAGGGATCACCTGGCAGGGATTTACCATTCTGGAAGAGATGGTAACGTTTGTCACTTGTTTAGCAACAGAAGCAAATATTCAGGGGGAAAATTAATTCAATTAGAATTTAAGAAGCCTCTTTGCTACTGATGGAGCTCCTCTATGGCAAACCTTGCCTCCAGAAAACATCTGAGCTCCTTCTGCAGGGTTACAGACAGCAACCTGGAAAGCATCCATTGAAAGCTAGGTGGTTATTGGGGGGGCACTGTTCCCACTGTCCTTGCAGGAAAGCTACACATAATAAAGAAATTATTTGGACTATTACATCAGAAAGCATTTACTAGAGGAGTGATTTGAAACCACAAAGCACCAGGTGTAATTATGACAAAACAAACAGTCAGCCTGCCACCCCTAGATTTGAAAGCAGCTGTATTTGAACTCTTTTGAAAAATGCTTTGAGAGGCTTATAAATTGTCTCAGCAGCAACCAGACAGCCCTAGACATGCTACATTCAGTAACTAAACATGAAGTAATCCAGGAGAACTTAGACCATGATCTCACATCCACTGAGCTTAATAACCATTCACAAGTATGAAATTAATACTTTTAGATGTTTGCAGGAAAAATGTTTTAAATAAACATTTCCAGGTAGTGAACAATTTCAAAAGAAAATATAAGCCTTCTCTGGTTAGGCTGGGATCCCAAAAGGGCCATTCATAGTTCCAGTTTTATCTTTTCTGTCAGCTGGTTTTCTGCTTTTTGCATTAGCATTTTAAGGAACATAAACAAAGTGTTTTTACAATAGAAGTGTATATTATTCTGTTTTATTCTACTTTTCTGCAGTGCTTTCAAGAAGCAGCAAAGGAATTTTTGCTCAGGTTTTCTAAGCTAATTCTTCAAGCAGCAACAGGGTGTGCAGGAGGTCTACCCAAAAATGAAGCACATGGAATTGTGTAGGTATAATGGAAACCTTAGCAAGGCTGCAGCTGTCATGAGCAGCCTCCAGTGTTAGAGTTTGGGTTATATTTATATTTATCTGTCTATATAATTTCCAAAGGGCTTTCCTACCCCTCCACATGTTTATACACTTTGTGCATTCCCTTTTTTCCATATTCCCAACTTTACCTGGACCACTTTTCTTCCTCAGTGCACATCTGGGCTCTGGCCTCTCAATCCTTCCACAGAGAAGATGAACAAACACATCTCGATCCACTTCTGTGAATTATGGTTCCAGAATTTATACTTCATATTATTTTTAAGCAAACTCTTGAACAGGGATACTGGAAGATAAAATGATATGCAAAATGCAATTAGAAATGGGGGGAAGATTTAGTGAACTGGAACAGCTTTTATTATCCATTTTCACACTACACCTAAGCTGCTTGTGTACTTTTCATTGACTGACAGTTTTTTCTTCCTGTTTCTCTGTTCCACATAATGATAGAAACATGGAATTATAGAAAGGTTTGAGTTGGAAGGGACCTTAAAACTCATCTCTTTTCACTCCCCTGCCATGGGCAGGGACACCTTCCACTATTCCAGGCTGCTCCAAGCCCCATTCAACCCAGCCATGGACACTTCCAGGGATGGGGCAGCCACAGCTTCTCTGGGCAACCTGTGCCAGTGTCCCACCATAATATATAATTATGTATATTATTAAACATATGTTATAATATATGCAAATATCTACAAAAGTGCAAGGTCCCAGCACAGCAAAGCAGTACTGCAGACTGATGTTGGTGTCTCAGAAGGCCCAGTTTAAATTGATTCACAGCACTGTGGGATGTCTGCGGTGTCTGCATGAGGCATAGAAATCATGAGTCACCTCCTCTCATCTTACTGATCCCTGGTTACTAAAACTGAAAGTATAAATTGAAACATTAAAGGGAAAACTGGGGCTTCAGTCTGCCCTCCAATTTGCACACACACAGAGTCCCCACTGTCCTGGGGACAGCAGTGTCTGCAGCACTGCCTGTCCTCATCCACCTTCATCAAGAAACCCAGTTTGACTCAAGCTACTGCAGAGTGATCCCAGGAAGGGAATCATGTCCCTGGTATCAGGGCAGCCAGGCAAAGAATTCCCACTTTGGATCAGTTTTAAAACACTGACATTTTGCTTGGACAAAGACACAGGGCCACATGGGAATGTGAATTTCACAGATATTCACTGTATGTCCTACCACTGAATTCCCCATGTCCATTAAATACTGTAAGACTCTAAATAAAAACCAAACAGTAGCAAATAATCACATTGTAAATAATCACAAGAACTGATGCTCTAAAAGTTAGCATTTCTACATGAAAACCTTTGTAGAGGTTTTCAGGCAGCCAAAAAAGTGAAAGGTAAATTAAAATGTGTGGTTATTCTATATCCCACTGCAGAAAGCCAGCTCAAGTCTTGGTGGCAATAGTTGTGTCTGATAAAAGTGTTGAACTATTGGTTGATTTAGGAGGATCTAATACTTAGGACTTCTCCAAAGTGGTTATGGGAAGACCTCCCCTTTAGAAGGATTATCCTTTTCAAAAATGACCTATCTCCTCAGGCTGAGTTCCTGACCCTTGTTCCTCTCTGCTGTGTTCCAGAGGTTAAGCAGACTTATTTTGATTATTTATAATGCTTTTATTTGCTTTCAAATTTATGGCCATGATTCTTATCCCCTAAAGACAATTAAATTTAAAAAAATCCATTCATAGCAGCATTATTTTGTATGATGTCAGTGATTACCTCTGCTCTTACTCAGGACATCTTGTGCAAACCTGTGGCTCACAATTAATAAGACAGTACTCCTGGTCAGAAAAAAAAAAAAAAAAGGGAGGCAACAATTGTTTTAATCACATCCTTCAGTGAATTTAAGCCCTGACACGTACACCTGCTCATTCTAAATACCTCTGGTTATTGTCTCTTCATCAATTAAATATGAATGTCTATTACTCTAACCAAACACAAAGCTCTCAGTAGAACATGTAGCAACCAAGATTCTTGGTCGTGTTGTGACCTGTAGTGATCACCATACTTTCCACCAGTCTGGTTTAATGTTTGCTCTGCTGAATATTTTCCCCTGTGCTCACCAATTAAAACAGCAGGAGAGTTCCCCTGGCCCAGTGGGTGCACATGGTCCACACACTGCCCATCTTCCATGGAGAGGCAAGGACAGGGACAAAGGAGCACACAGCAGGGTTGTTCCACAAAGAAAAGCTGCAGCCGTGCTGCAGCCTCCCCATCAAGCAGGTCTGACAGAAGGGAGGAGTAAAGGCTTCACAGAGCAGCTCCCTCCCCTGCAGAGACGACAGGGATAAAGAAAAAGCAGCAACAGAGCTATTCTTGCACTGAGGGGACTTAAAGCCTGTTCCTCTCAGCTGGACCTTGTAAATAGAAGTTTTGGCGAAGACAAGGGACTGCTGACGTCTTGTCCCCTAAACCCACCTGCCTGACCTTTATATATTGATGTAATGGATGCTAGCAGGAAAGAAACAGGAATTCTGCACTTGATATTGTAAGCCCCTCTGTCTGGAAAATCCCTGTGCCTGGAGGAGCTGGCAGAGCTCCAGGGAAGCCCAGCACACCATCCCCTTCTGCTCAAAAATTCCAGTGGACTCAGCCAATACTGTTTGATTCAAACTCTTCCCCAGACCTCTGTCCTTTCTCATCCCATAAGGTTTCAAAGTCTCACAGCCCCAGGTTATTCTATATCCCACTGCAAGTACGGTACTGCTGGAGAACTGCAAATTTATTCTGGTGGAATGTGCTGTGATTAAACCGTGCCAGATTCCTTGTTCTGTCAAGTCAACAACAGCCTTTCCATCCATGGCTTTATTGCAGGAATTCAGAGCTCTGCTTTCAAATGAAATAGCTTTAGGCTGCATCACATATTCTACCTCCATATGGGGAATAGATATAAAACTCTTTTTCAACATATCTAGGAAAACTGAGTTGCTGTCAAGGCTGACATAACAGTCTGCTTTATCTCCTCAGTGGATGAGCAGACTAAAATAGCCTTTTCCTCACAGAATGCTAACACAGTTCTTTTTCTATATATAAGCCCATGGATTTATTCCAAATCTATTGATAAAACTATCACTACAGCAACTTATGCAGACTACTTGGAGATTTTTCCTCTTTAGAAAATTTGAATATACTAGTATTTTTTCCTTTTAAATCTTTTAATAAACTGTTTTAGGAAGAAACTTTATTTCAGTGCATTTCCTAATTTGACAAGCAGCTCAGAAAGCAGACATGAACCAAACAATGCTAACTCATATCTTTGGGCTGCCTCTGTCAGCTTGGAATGGACCTTGAAGGTAATCTCATTCCACCCCCTTTATCACACCTTCCACCAGAGCAGGTGAAATTAAATATATGCCTTAACTTATCAAATGTCCATCTAACAATATTGTGGCCAGGTGAATTCCAGCTTTGTTGGCAGTGGTAATGTCTGACCCTGCCTGCTCAGATCTGACCTGGTGGCTAGTTTTTGGGAGGCTGCATTCTACTGCCAGTCACATGCACTCTGCCAGCTCCCAAACACCTTCCTGTCTTTTATGCTTTGCCTGCAGCAGTAGGAATTCTTCCTTTTAGACACACATTCTGTATAATGTTAGTAGCTGATGGTATGCCATCCTCCTTCTCCTCTCTTATTTCCAGTTCTCCAAACATTTATGCAAATCTTTTTTTTTTTTTTTTTTGGTAGCCTAAAAATGACCTTAAATGTATATTCCAGCATAAATGAGTATATGAAAAAAAGAAAGCAAAATTGATTATTTAGGTAAGCATTCAGCAGTTTTTCTTATACTTCTGAACTTTCTTCTATCTGCTGTATTTACTGGCAGGTTCCAGCTACTTCTGGATTCAAGTTCAAGACCTGATGTAATTCTGACAACAATAGACCACACCTTTTTAAGGTTTCTAAGAAAGGTGTGGTCTAGACAGTTCCTAAGTTGTGGTAACTATTTGTGTGTGGGCAAAGGGGTGAAAGGCAGCTGCATTGGGAAGTGCTATTATATAATGCACCCAGCTTGAGCTGCAATTATCCAGTAACACAGGTTTTTTTTTTGTAGTGTTTTTTTTTTTTTTTAAAGTTCTTTTTTTCTGCTGTTAAATCAACATGGGCTTTAAATGTGAGAATTTTCCTTTAACACTTTGCAGCAACTGGTTTCCATTTACTGGTAATTAGTAAGTGCTGGCCTAGATATGCCAGCGCTATAGGAGAACAAAGGAGACAGAATCCTTGGATGAAGCCAGAGGGGAGGGGGGAACTGGGTCTGTTCTAACTCAGCAGCTTGCTCGTGGTGCTCCCTTCTTTGCAGTTTCTAAGGGGAGTTTAGGGCTTATATTTTTTTCTTTTAATGACTTGATTTTCCCTAAATGCAGACTATGGGAAATGGACTTGTACAAGTTTTTAGGGTTTGATAGAAGGCTTACACAGATGATCATGCAATAATACCCCATTCACAGGCAGCTGTGCTGGCCATCAGCTCTCCATGTTCACAGCTGGTGGAAGCCTGCACAGAAAGCCTGGGTGACCCAGACATCTGAAGCAGATGGAAATCCAGGGGAAGGTGGGGTGGGCAGGGTCAGATCTGATACAGTGACACTTGCATCCTCCTTTATTACTCACACACTGACTGCTTAGAAATCCTTTGTAAATAGGATAATTATACTGCTCTTCAGCTCTGGTGTTTTCATTTATATTCTCTTGCTCACCTCCATTTACTGAGATGTCACTGTTTTTTTAAGAAGGGAAGTTAAAAAGCTGTCACAGAAACTGAAGCTGAGTCACCTAGGAAAGTTCAAGATATTCCCTCCCTAGGAAACACAAAGCAAAACAAAAATTAATACCAGATTTTACAGCCCAGTTTGTATTTCCCATTATTATTACTTGCACTCTCTGCATGTTGGGTATTGCAAGGGAAAATAAACAGCTCTGAAACCTCTTTTCATTGCTCCTGAACAGTCTAGTTGGTCTCATTAGTCAGCCAGACACTCCTACTAGTTTCACCTCCTTGCTTTGTTTACCCATGATAGCGTGATTGAATATATTTCTCCCTTACCATGCAAGTAGGTGTTGTAATTTATGCTTTGTTTTCTTAAATAACCTCCTACAACAGACTCCTTCCTCTTCAAAATACAATCTCCAATGCACTTCTATTTTTTCACAGGCACCAGCTGAGGTACCACTAACACTGTCATTGCTGTAACCTCTGAAGTCTGATCCCAACACAAGAAGAATGTAGACCCGTTGGATTGAGTCCAAAGGAGGCCACAAAGCTGATCCCAGAGCTG